GTGGCCCTGTACGCTTCCCTCTACAATGTCCCTATTTAAAAACTACGCTAAAAACCTAGTCTCCATTAGCTGTGAGGGTACTCGCCGGTCCGCAATCCAATTGCCGGCCCCGAACACTTCTCCCCACAGAAAAAAAAAAAACCTAACTAATCAAAAATAGAGCCACTAGTAAAGCAATATATAGTATGTGCGAAAACACAATACTAATGCTCACTAGCCCTCAAAATACTAATATAGTACTTTGGTACTATACCTTGCCAATGTAGTACCTATCCTACACAGGCACTAAAAAAACAAGCAATGTCTACAAGCCTTTTGCTCGCAGCGCCAATGTAGTATTTAGTAATATAATTAATTAAACTACACTGACAAGCCTTTTGCTCGCAGCGGCAATGTAGTAATTATCGCCTATATATATACACTGTGATATAAAAGGTACCGAGTGGAGCTTACCTTTATCCAATAGGATGTATTCCTAGGCGATAGTACTCCAATTATATATCCAAACACAACAGTACTCAAATGGTAGCACTCTTGCAAAGACCCGGACACCAGATACACCATAAAAACCTATCGTTTGGTATGGTAATGCTCTCAGCATGAAGTCCGGTGTACGAGTGACGACAATTCCCCAAGATCTCGGTGATCCCTCCTCTGCACACCTGAGGGCAGGATATGCAAATACACAGATGCCGGGGTTAAAGGTCGTTACCGTTGATCGGTCTCTCGAACAGACGGCGGCCGTCACTACAACATGGATGATACCAGTAACCACCACACAAACATTTTAACCTTGTGCAGTTAGTGAGTCAGTCTACACATGTACATGACCATACTCTGGATCTTGTGATTACTAACAATCAGAATCTCATAAAAAATTGTCATGTACACCAGTACCACTTTTCTGATCATTACATTGTTCACGCTCAACTTGACATAACCAAACCATTAAATTATAAGAAGGTTTTATTCCGTATCTTTAAGAACATTGAAAATAGTGTTCTTACAACCTCATTTTCTGTAGCATTTTCTGGCTTCGGCAAAGATGTCAACAACCAAGATGTTAATTCTATGGTCTCTGCATATAACACAACCCTAAATTCAATTCAAAATGAAGTTGCACCTGAGAAAATGAAAGTTGCTACCATGAGACAAATGTCTCGATGGTACAACGATAATTGTCGTATTGAAAAAAGAAAGTGTCGGGTATTAGAGCGTAAATGGATCAAGTCTTGTGATTCTGTTGATAATACAGCTTTCAAGAAGCAATGTGCGAAATATCACTCGGTTTTAACCAATACAAAAACTGCCTACTTTCAATCTCAAGTCGAGAAATGTGGAAGTGACCAACGGCTGTTGTTTTCTTTAATGAACAAACTTTGCGGTAAAAGTAAAGTAAACTCTCTTACCATCCACACCCTCTGATGTTGAATTAGCACAAGCATTTAACACATACCGGTACTTTCACAATTAAATTGAAACTTTTAGAGCATCTCTACCAGTCATATCGGCTTACGCTTTCTCAGTGCCAGGTGCCGACGGTTTTGAAATTAGTAACTTTACAGAACTAGAAGAAAATGAAAATATTTAACATTGTAAAAAAAGTTTCATCGAAGACATGCTCGTTTAGATCCTTTGCCACAAAATATATTATCGAAAATATTACACTTTTCCTACCAGTGTTTTGTCAGATTGTTAATTCTTCCTTTTCATCTGGCACTTTCCCTGATGACTTAAAAGTGGGGATCATCAGGCCAATGCTTAAGAAACCTAACTTAAACCACAATGAACTTGCTAATTTTTAATTTTCTTGATGTAAATAATCTGTTTGATCCTCTACAATCGGCCTATAGAAAATTTTACAGCACTGAGACAGCAGTTGTTAAAATCCACAACGATATAATGGTTGACCTTGTTAAAGGTTTTTGTATTCTGGCTGTTTTTTTAGATCTAAGTGCTGCTTTTGACACGATTGATCACAAATACTCATTCACAGACTTGCATCTCTTGGAATTGGTGGATCAGTTCTTACATGGTTCACATCTTATCTTACATCTAGAAAACAACAGGTTCGCATTAGAAATAGCTCTTCAGCGTGCATTAATGTAGAGAGTGGTGTCCCTCAGGGGTCAATTCTTGGCCCCATTTTATTTCTTATTTACGTCTCTCCTTTGAGCAATATCATTAGCAGTCATGAAGTTCGATATCATGCCTACGCCGATGACACTCAACTCTATCTTAGCTTCCATGTCAACCACTGGTCTGAAGCCAAGAAAACCATTGAAGCATGTGTTCGTGATTCTCAGTCCTGGTTGTCACAAAACATGCTCTTCTTTAATCCTTGTAAGACTGAAGTTCTTTATTTTCATTCAAATTACCTTATAAGACCACCTCCGATTAATTGTGTTGTAGTTGGTAACACCAATGTCCTACCATCTACCAAAGTCCGTAATATAGAAGTTGTTTTTGATCCTATAATGAAGATGGAAAAACACATATACACCGTTTGTAAATCGGTTTCATATCATCTACGCAACATCAAGCATATTCAAAAGTTCCTAACAAAAAATGCTCTTCTGAAGTTAGTTCATGCACTTATAACATCACGGCTAGATTATTGCAATGCAATTCTGTATGGTCTTCCCGCCTGTCGTTTAAATAGACTACAGCTATGCCTTAACACGGCAGCTCGTTTAGTATCTGGAGTTTCCAGGCGTGAACATATTTCACCTGTTCTCCATCATCTACACTGGTTACCAATTGACAAGCGCATCACATTCAAGATTCTGCTCATGACGTACAAAGCCCTCCACAACAAGACTCCTGAATACATTTCTCAACTTCTAACGTCACATTCTGTAACTTGTAGTAGGTCTTTGAGATCAACGACCAATAGATTCATACTATCCGTTCCAGCATCGCGACTCAAAGCTTACGATGATAGGGCCTTTTCTGTCGCTGCACCAAGACTTTGGAACACCCTACCAGCCTCTATCCGTGAAGCAACTTCCATTCATACATTTAAGAAGAAACTTAAAACTTTTTAAAATTTTTGTAGTTTTTGTATTTAAGTGTTATGTTTTTTGTTCCTTAAAGTCGCAACTCCCTTACTTGAGCCAGCGTCGCCACCTTAGCAGTGCACGGTAGTAGAGCCAAGGCTTATCCAAGGTGGAAGCTACCTCAGCCCTGCATACTGTCGCCGGAGTGCCTGCGTGTACGCAGTCATGGTGGTGGACACTGTCTCAACAACAGGAGTGCGCATTTTCATGCTGCTGCTTGGTTTTTTCCATTCTTGGTTTGCTTGTTTTTGAAGGCTTAATTTATCAATTTATCAATTATTTATTTGTTTATTTATTTTCTATTTGTTTATTTATTTATTTATTTATTTACATTATTCATTTATTTATATTTATTTAACTTATAATATATAAAAAAAATATTCTGATTAATATAGGCTCAATAATATAAGATATAATATGATTTAATTTTTTATAATTCATGGTCCTACCTTTTTTCGGCGCCTTGAGACGATTTTATTGTGGAAGGCCCACTACAAATATCCCACCATTACCATTACCATTATAAAGTTTAATCCAATCCATTTAAACCTGTCAAAAATACTACTGTACAATGTAGCCCACCAGTACAACAGTTTAAAATGAACTAGAAATAATGTTTTGTTGTATTCATTATCACTCATGGGCAAGTACTGTTTTGTTGTTGTTTTCTTCTTTTTATATTGTATTGAAAAATACAATTCAATGCAATTCAAAAATCAAATGCAACATTATAAATAAAATAAATCTGTTCATACAAAGGAAAAACTTTATAAAATATAATATTATTTCTTAACACAGTATGACGTTATTTCAAATTAGGTGACAACATTCATCAAACAGAAACAATTCTTCATAATACTTTCAATTGATTCATGTTTTTATCCACGACCTTATGATAGTGTTGAAATTTACTCAAGCGGAGGCTTATTATTGTGTGAAAAAACTGCCACCTAGCTATTTGTTTTGATGTTGCACTCACTGTAACAGCTTTGGTTTGGTGACTAATTCGATGTATTGAACATTTTTGAGCCTCAACCCAGAGTCTATATGTAATTTAATACTTTTATTGGCTGTATGTTTGTCAACAAATTTTGTTTTAATATTCCTATTTTAATGTGTAAGTTTTGGTTATTTTGATTTCCTTTGGTGTACTACATGCCTTTGTAATTTTTCTTTCACTAATCACAATTTAATTTCTTTTACTAATTAAACAGTATTATTATAATAGTAATAACAGCATCAGAAACAATTTCATAGATACATTAGAGCTAATAGTAATAGTAACCATTAGTTAATATCTATAATATAACAAAGGGCATATGAGCTCCTCGCAGTCAACGGCTAACCATTAATTAGTTTAAGGAATAGGAGTAGTTTAGCCTCATTGTTATTATTGTTAAAATGATTACATTTTATTATTATTTTTGTTGTTTGTATTTTCTATGTTGACCTGTATTATTTATGTGTAAAGCACATAGGGACAATGTGCAGTATGCGCTATATAAACATAACATTATTATTATTAATTTATCCCGAATAAAAATTATGGCATTAACCATGATAATTATAATTGACAAAATATTGCTTGTATTTCTTACTCTTACTATTGTATACTGACACTAGTTTCTCTTGAGTAAAAACCATCAACCTATTTCCTTGAAACCATGCTATTTATTCTATTGAAGTTTTTTATGTTTATATTTATTAATGAGGCAGCTGACTCTCAATGAATTATAGTAAAATTTTGCTTAAGCTGCCCCTGACCAAAATTTTTGTTGTACTGTACCTTTTGTAAATGTGTATTGGTCAAATAAATAAATGAAATGAAATATTGTAAACCTTAGCACAATTCAATGATGTTTTTGGTATTTTATTTATTTTTACAGGTTTTATTATTTGTGGAACAATTGGAGCATGTCTTACTCTAGCGGGTATAATTGTTGTTGGTAAGTTTGACAGATTTTAAGACTTCTATATGCATAATTGTTTATAAAATAAATAAATACATAAAGCAAACAAGTTTGTATATATCCTTTTTTTTTTTAATAACAGACCAAATTAACTTATGAGCTTCGATGGTACAAACATCTTGAATAGTGTTGTTAATTACAATAACAAACACCATATGCATTGGTGTCTAAAATGTAACGAAGTAAGCAAGGAAGATGCTTTTTGAATAATTCTTGAATGATTGATGAGATTAAGGCCAATTTGTATTACATTTCCATTCACACTAAAATGTGAAGATTTTTGAGAGGCATTTTGGGGCCATTACTTGGGTAAATATTTTTACCTCAGCCCCAACCATGGTGAGGCTGAGGCTGTGTAGACCTTCCATTTGTGGAAGTCCCTCCTTAAGCCCTATATTTTAAATTCCTGGATCCGGCAATTGACTGTAAACATTATAGTGAGGCCTATGTAGCGCAAGAGAATCATTCATCACCGTGAAGATTGTATTTAGGAATCGGACTATTTCCTTTTTGTGTGACTACCATAGTCAAATTTAGTGTGAAATCTGTGTAATAATACTTAATATTGAATAAATTCGTTGGATTCAGTAATAGGTGAATATATGGTTCTTTTATGATGATCCAATAATCCAACATTGCAATGCTCAGTCAATATATCGTCACTTATTGCTAATCCTCACTGCAATCCTCGTCATGTCTGTCTGAGTTTACATCATCCTTATTTGTACTCAATTTTTTGATTATCATAAAAGAACCATCACAGCTGTATATTAAACATCAAAATACAAAATATTGCTGTTTTAGTTACTTTGTCATATTAGGGAGAACATAGAAACTATTTTTAATTAATTTTGAAGTTATTAACCTAATACTTAACTACCCGCTAAAAAAAGACTTGATTTTTATCAAGTCATTTACAAATTGCATGTAAAATATTACTGAGGCATGCAGTAAATACTACTTAATCTAATAGTAGTAATAGTAATAATACAGTAGTAGTAGTTGAAAAGTAGTAGTATGCTACATAATCAATTAGCAAATATCTTTTATAATTGGCAAAGATTACAATTATATTGATATAAAAAATCTGATATTTTTTTTTTTTTTTTTCCATATATCCATATATTTGCTGTCCAGCGATTTAGAGGTAAGTAAGTGGTAGCGTAATGATGACACTAATAATAATATAACAAGATTACAAAACCTCGCCCTGTTGTGATATATCCTTAAAAAATAATGGCATTTGGCTGCACACCGGCCGGACTTCTTCATCATAGGCCTCATGTGGCAAGCCCATTAGTAAAGCAAGTTTGCACACCAGCCAGACTGCTTCCAGTTTGCCGGCCAAAATTTGACTCACTCTTGACTCTGCCCTATAATCGATCTGCTCGAGTCTGCTCGTGCTAGACAAACAAGGCTGAACTATCCGGTCGAGTTGGCTCTGTTGGATGTTGAGGCTGAAAAATATATAAATAACATTCTAAAATAAAATTGTTACTTCCGATCAGCACCAATTTAATACCATATATAATATTTGCAAATTCAATGTTTATTACTTCACATAACATTGCTATATGATTCTGTTAGATCAATAGCTATGACAACAATGACAACAGAGCAATTGTGTTTGTGTTAGAAATGTACACATCTAATTTTAAGTGGATCACATTGAAAATTGAATGTGGTAACTCATGAAGGCCTTGATTCTATTGCGTGTCAAGTGTGAAATAACTTCAAGCTTCCAACAGCTCTTAAGCACAATATTTCTACAGTATTACTCTAAATAGTTTTATTACAGCATAGTTGTTTTCTGTTACCATCTTTTAAATTTAATTTATTCAAATGTAGAACAACTGATGTATGCTGTATTTGAACTGACCAAGAACGTCAATGATGGCAACCATGATCTCTGTGGAAGCCGAGACTGAATATTCCAGATGAATAATTTTTTTGAATACAGTGGCCTTATTAGGTAAAAAAAAATTGTGTTGCCCATCAGACCAAAAATTTTGAATGTTTAGGGTTACTTTTTAACTAGGA